GAAGATATCCAGGATAATATAGATCGCATCATATCCAACCCAATACAGAACATAGCCGGCAGCATAGCTATTGGCGTTGTTGCACGCAGCAAGAATGATAATACCGAGGACATAAACGCCTGTGAAGATGATGAGACCTTCAGCACGTCCCCATAGAGTCAAAATCTTTCCGATGGGGAGCTTGAGTACTCCGCCGACAATGCTTGCCAGGATGGTGGCCGTGCTGACCTGCGAAGCATTCTGGAAGTTGGAGTAGGCATAGTAGAGGACATTGGAACCGATGGAGGAATGCAAGGCCAGCATGAAGAAGCAGATCCAGATCCTATATATATGTTAGGGTCCAGATTATCGGACATTCTTTTTTAGAGTACTTACCATGCATAGGTCGCGAAAACAGCCTTCTTGCTCCAGACCAAAGCAACAGCCTCAGCCTTGCGCACACCATCTGCAACATTTGGGCTGACCTCGTCGGGATGTTCCCGGATCTCCTTCTCCGCACGACCCAGGTTGTTCAGGCCATTATCTACTGCGTTCTGCTCAACCTTGGTATCGGTCTTCTCGTCTCCTTGAGTTGGGCGCAGGTCTTCCACAATCACACGGTCCTTTCGACCACGAGTTAGGTTGATGACACCCATGGCTTATAGGCGAGGACCTCTGTTTGATAAGGAGCCCCGGAAGAAATGATTGAGCGTATGAGAAAGAAAATGAAAGAAAAGGGAGGATCCGAGGGTTCGGCTACATATCTAGCATTTAGAAAGATTTTTATCATTTTTATTTCATATTTCAGCTAACCAAGACAGTGTAGCTGAGACTTGTTCTAATGTTGTATGTGGTTAGTGCACCGAAGCGTCCAAGATAAAACGGATCAGATAACCCAAGCCATGGAAATAGACTCTAAAATCGGTACAGCCGATACGCCACCCGACTTGGAAAGACGCCCAGCCCTGGAGGTGAGAAATACCGATACAGTTTTGCGCAATGATTGGTCTACGGGCCCATCGGCCAGGTCCGGCTTGTATTCAGAGTGTGGTTAGGCAGCTTAAGAAAAGCCGGTTTGCCGAGCGTCGCGGCAGGTTAGTTGCTTTTTTTGTTTTTGTTTTGGTTATTATTAACTTTCCGAGTTTTTATCTTGTATCTAGCAAAGGTATTCAAGTCTCATAACTTAGTTACTACATTGGAAGTAGGTAGGTACGACTATGATATCAAAAGAGAAAACACCCCGTTCAGATGCCAATCCTCTCCCACATACTAATGGTCCCATCAGACCCCTCAAAATGCGGCGGCCATCTGGGACGCTAAGGGCTTATTTTGCGCAAAGTGGAGAGACAGGTAAGCAGATGCTTTTCGGAGCTCCACCCGAAATCAGCACGCCACGCGATGTAGAGGTGACCATCTCATAAATACTTCGTAACAAGCTTTAGAAGAGGTATATGAACTAGAAATAATGAATGGGTATATAGTTCCTGGAACTACTACTATCTATGTATCTGGACACTTTTTATCAGAAGATTATCAGATCAATCAAAATCCAACCTTGGAAATCTCGCGTATGGATCGCTCTCGGGCCAAAGGTTCCCTGCAAGATTTCTCAGCCCTCGGCAGATCCGGCTACTACCGGGGAATTTATTTATTCTGATTTTAGAAGAGAAGGCTTTTTTTTCTCGGGGTTTTTGCTGTCGGCCGAACTCGGCAGATCGGATCTACATTGTCACACTACCTGCCGGGAGTGGGTGGTCAGGTCCAGGGTTTCATTTCAGCTTAGTCTATTTTTGCTTTTTATTGTCCTAAGGGGATGGTGAACCACTTTAATTGAGTCAGATCGACTTAGCCAGTATCCCAGGCTGATGCTTTTTTAGGCAATCGGGAAGCTCTTTTGCTTTCTCTCACTGGTAAGCGCCCCAAACCACAGCGCAGGCAAATATCCTAAAGGCCCACCAGATGAAAAGAGGGACTCGCATCTGATAACGTAAATTGCTTTCTGAGAACCTCCAGACATGGTTCGCCATTCTTGCCTAGCCGACAATTGGACAACAGTGAACTGGTCCCGCTGAGATATGCCAGCCCGCACATAGAATGCATTATAAAGGAAGACGCCACTTCCTACTTACCAAACAGGATAGCGTATCCAGTCTTAGAAATCCGAGAAAGAAAGTCTGAGTCGTTTCAGGCGAGCTGCCAGGTCATTTGTTTGGAAAGTGGTATGAAGCGAACAAATTGAGTAGGATCCACCGGGGAAACCCTGGGAAGCATTTGGCTTTGCGGTTCATGCAGCTTTAGCTTTGAAGCTTTGAACACAAGATGCTTATTTCGACATTGTAGGCGGCCCCAGCCTTGTACTAACTGAAGATGCTAGATTGGCTTTACGGCTTGCATGTTCTCATATACTTTGTAGCTTGGTAAATCTACACCAGAACTTGCTAAATGATGACAGACTAGTAGATTCTTTCATTGGACTTCACGAGTGGATTGTGAACATGTCCACGTTGCCTGATAAGGAGCGTTATTAAATCCTGCCGGTATATGGCCATCGTATTTCGAAACAAACGCCGTGAAAACAGAAAAGAAACCGCCAAGGTCTAGAAATCCATAGTTTAGACATTGTTACCATGTTGCTTTCATGTGCATCGTGACATTACAACAAGAGTCGTAATATTTTGTCGCCTTTCAATAGCTTAGCTACTGTTGCGATGCGCAGCAGCTTCAGCAGTCAGCTTCAAGGCCGCAGGAGCATCATCGCGAGGCATATACAATTCGACCAGCTAGATAGTGCGTTAGCAGGCAATTTTGAGAATTCTTTGTATTGATAACTCACCCGAAGCTTGTCTGAGACGTTAAATTCCTGGTCAGCAAACAGATTGTTGAGTTCGTCACGGGTCTTGATACGGTAGCCTTTGTAGTTATCCTTGGCTCCGAAGACCTTGGGGATGTTGGCAAAGTCCCACGGCTGGATGTCATTGTATCCTGCGTCCCATCCGTGGATGTATCGCTCGATAGTGTAGCCATCGTTGCAGATAACGAAGCTAGAGATGGTTAGTATATGATATGAGGATATTGGGTTGATAGGGGGTGCTTACACAATGGGATTCAACTTGTTCTTCAGGATAGTGCTGAGTTCCTGCACAGTCAATTGAATACTTCCGTCGCCGATGAAGAGGATGGTGCGGCGATCTTGCTGCTCCTTAGCAGCGAGGGCAGCGCCCTGACACGCTCCCATGGAATAGCCAATGCTGCCCCAAAGAACTTGGCTAATGGCAGTCACATTGGCGGGGAAGCGAGTGTCCCAAATACCAAAGTTGGCAGTACCAGTCTCCGTAAGGATAATGTCCTTCTCCTTTAGCCACTGTCCGACGGTGGGCCAGAGCCAATTGTGGGTGATGGTTGAATCGGTAGAGTTTTCCTCGCTTTCAGGCAGTCGGTTTGTGAGAGGAGGAGTAGGAGCAACATTCAGAGCATTCATCCTCTGAACAACCTTCTTCAAAACACCCTTCATGTTGATATCAGGATACTCCGAGTACCGCACTCTCACAAAGGTACTGTGGAAGTCAATGGTGTTCAACTGTCCAATACGATAAGTGAAACCGGTAGTGTTGAAATCGGACTTGATCGCTCCAATGCTCAGAATGAGGTCAGAGGACTCGACTGCCTCACTGACTCCAGGGTTAGACCCATTGCCAGCATAAACACCACCGAAGTTCTTGTGATTCTCGTTTACGGCTCCCTTGCCCATTGGAGTGACAAAGGTTGGCAAGCCAGACTTCTCTACCAAGTCGCGCACTTCTTCTAGCGCGCGATGACGGATAGCACAGGCGTCAACCAAGATGACCGGGTTCTTCGCGGCATGGAGATATTTCAGGACAACATCAACCACGTAGTCCTCCTTCTCTGGGTCATTCTTAGGCAGTGAAAGATCAAGCGGAGTGTTCAAGCGATCGCCGTTGACCTTGGCAGCGACCATATCAGTTGGCAGGGTGATATACACCGGACGACTGCGGATCCAGCATTCACGGATCGCACTGTCGATCAGAGTGGCTGCATTGCGGGGGTGGGTCAGGTTTGCGACGTAGCACGAAATTCCCGCGCTCATTTTGGTGAAGACATTGAAGTCTCCATTTCCTAGAGTGTGGTGCAACAACATTCCATCTCTTTGAGACTGAGTGGTAGGCTGGCCAACGATATGGACGACTGGGACGAACTCGGAGTATGAGCCTGCGATGGCATTGAGGGCGGACAGCTCTCCAACACCAAATGTGGTGACGAGGGCACCAATACCATTCACACGAGCATAGCCATCAGCGGCATAGCCTAAGATGAAACATTAGACCCAGATCATTCGTTCATAGTAAAGGATGTCTTACCAGCATTGAGTTCGTTGCAGTTTCCAACCCACTTGAGATCACACTTGGGTAGGTAATCCAGTGCTGCAAGATTATAATCACCGGGCAGACCATGCAATGAGCGGATTCCAACCTCGCGAAGACGTCGGAATAAGTACTCAGCAACATCGATGGGATTGTTTAGCTCCCTGGTAGCAATATCGGTAGATGCCATGATGAATTGATATGTTTTTGGGGAAGGGGAAGATGGGAAGAGAAGATGGAAGTGGTGAGAAGGTGAGAGAGAGGGGTAAGAGGTGGTATAAAAGCAATGGAACTTTTGTTACAGGCTTTCTGGATTAAGGTGAGACCACTTTGACTACGTCATTGACTTTTTGATGTCATGCCATCATTTTCTTCTATTTTTATAAGATTGGATGTTGTATTATGTAGATCCATCTAGAACATAGAGATAGGGATTTATTTTTTAATAGTATATCTATGAACATCATATAATTAGAGAGATATGCAGAGGGATGTAATAAGCATATGTTATATGAAGCCGCCCACCGTTGAGCAGGGCGATCACCGGCTAAACCCAATCACACCGAGCGGCCGAATCACACAAAACTCCGACCCCCACCAACTCAGACCACCACCTAGCATATCAAAGCTTGGATTATCTAAATGGGGAAAAGAGCTATGCCCGACAGATCAAATCAGGCTTCAAAGAAGAAGAGGGTAAGTTTCTAGAAAATTATTGATTGCCACAGCACTAACAAGATTAGGGTGGCGGAAAATATGGGAAGCAGAAAAGTCGCGTTGCTATTGAATCTGGTGATGTCGGCGTCTTTGTGACATGCGATATGGGAAGAGAAGGAAAATGTCTAACAGAGGCAGTGGACATTTTTTCTCAAGTGAGATGACTTTTTTTTTTCTTCTTTGCTTTTTTTTCTCCCACATCGAATATTATTCTTACGGTTTCGCTAACTTTTTATTTAGGCCATTGAGGGCACTGAAAATCAAGAGGAAGAGGAGCAAGATACTGATGATGAAGATATCGAGGCCCAGATCCGAAGAGAATTGGAAGGCTTACAGCCCAACAAGGACAAACCTCGTCAATTCCAGCCCATCCAGATGGATATGCCCTGTGGTAGGTCTGCGATTATGTTTCAAAAAACGCCATTCGCTTATGCGCTCGGCCCTCGGAACGTTTATTGGTGCTAATCCCTGATAGTGACATTCATGCGTCTTGATCCCTCAATAGACCCCGTGCAGCTAGTGCACCGTTTGTGTAGCGAGGCACATGCACACCCGGAGACCAAGAAGAGTCGATGGATTAAGCGCATGCATCCAGTCACGTCAATGCGGAAGACTCTAAGTGTGGATCTAGCGGCCTTTGCGAAGGAGATCCTCAAGCCTCATTTCCATTCGGGAGGGCCACCGAAGACGGTGAGTTCAAGGCAACCCCCACCTCTCTCTCTTGGGCCTCTGAGCAGTCGGAGATCCTACTAATCTGGGAAATGATCCGATCACGCATCTCGCTATGAAAGGAAATGTACTATGAGCATTGCTGATCTGGCACCTATTTAGTACGCGATTCGGCCTACTGTGCGAGGCAACTCAAAGCTCAACCGAGACGTTATTATTAAGACTGTTGCTGATGCGGTCGGACCTGAGCATCCGGTGAATTTGAAGAACTATGATCTAATGATCCTCGTTGATGTTGCCCAAGTGAGTACTAGAAAACGAACCCTCTCCTACTGGATCTTTAACTGACCCGTCGTAGAATGTGATTGGAATGAGTGTAGTGCCAGGTGACTACGAGAAGCTGAAGCGGTTCAATCTAGCCGAAATCTACGAGCCTTCACCGAAAGAAGAGCCAGCGGCTGCGACCACTGAATCTAAGGCTTAGTTAGTATCAACGGTAAAAGTACTTTCCACAGTAGGCGCCAAGTCACTTCAATGGAATTTCTGTTGTACATGCTATCACCCATGCTACCCTTATATCCATCTTCCCCTCTGTCCTTTATCATTGCGATCGGTATATAATGAAAAGGTGTCAGGTATCAAAGAGGCTGGGATGACTTTATCTTAGTCATTCGGCGTGCCAAGAGTTTCGAAACCGCCTATCGTGAATTGAATGCAGGATGAAATACGGAGTACCAAGTTAAGACATATATCACATTGGGGCTTGTACTCCGCATTAGATGCACGATTTATGCGAATATGTTTAGCGAGAGGCCCTTCTCCACTTGACATTGTTATCGGCCATCATTGCCCTGGAAGAATTGAAAACTGATAAAGAGGTTGAATTATGGGGTAACCTAGAAGACACCTAAGAAGAAAACTGGGGGGAAACAACATCCGTTATATATATAGTAGTATCTATATTTTTGACTTTCTTTGAGTATTGTTTCATTGTGTTTGAAAAAGAAATAATTTTAGAACAATTTTAGAATGATTTTGGAATGATTTTGGAATATTGGAGTGATATAATTGGCTTTAGCTGGATATGTAGTATTTGAAATGACATCAGCTGAATCGACGCTAAAAGCACACTACTTGAACCTCGGTCTTTACTACATATCACATCTAGCCAAGATACTATATCAGTGGGGCTGAGTACAATGTCACAGGCTAACGGGAGCATTGGCAAATCAAGTAATTAAACTCCTTGAAAAGAATTAAGAAGAAACGGGAGCTATATGTAACGATCCATTGCCTTCAGAAACTGTTTGAAATGACTTGCATTTAAAGTAAAATCTCCGGTGGCTTGCATGGGAGTGTTCCAACGGTTGCAGCAACTAGAAACGATTGTTAAGCAGGAATCAACTCCATTAGGACTAGTCCTTTTACTCCAACACCAAATGTAAGCGAAATAAATTGAGCTCGGGAAGGAACCGAGAGAAGAATAGAAAGTTCTATAACCTTGGCCATGGACGGTACGAAGACTTCGGCAAGCGAGCATTGTGATTGGTCAGGGGCATAGTGCTCGGATGATCACCTTTTCTTAGAGCGGGATCCTTAGGCGAGATGGGCTTCACTTTAATTTACTTGTCCCATATTTCTCATTAACGAACCAATGTAACAGCAGGGTCCTTGCACTCTCGCTTGGGAACACTTTCCCAGACATCGTCTTCCAATTTGACTCCGCAAATGTTCAACCTCGGATAGTAATGGCTTCTCTTTCGTCTCTCGCGTGGATAAACCTAGAAGCGAGAGAGTCATGGCGTTGGATACCGTCACTGTCATTGTGGGTTACGTACGGAATAGATATCCATGGCGGTCTGGTGTGGCCCATTGATGTTCGATCTCTACGGAGTACTCCGTATGCGGTTCTTTCGCCAATTAACTATTCTAAAAGCGAGATTTTGCGCCACATCTACTGGGAGTATGCATTTTCAATTCAAACTTATCTCCTCGGCATATATCCGTACTTTGACTATTCAAGGTCTATGAGTTGTGATAGTCTTGTTTATACATCATCATTCCCTGCCAATATCTTTTCCAAGGTTCATGTGTCGTAGCCTTTGCTTATATAGCCTCCCCCCTGTTCGCCAATACCTCTCCCCACCGAATATATCATGATGCAACAACTTGACTCCAAAACATGGTCCGCAATGCCATCAATTTTGAGAACAAACGGCCACGGCGAATCTTTTCATCGGCAGTCTCATGCCGGCGAGGTAGATGAACACCATAGACTGGATTATGTTCTCTCGCTGCTGTATCCTTCTACAGTCCGTGTGCAACGCTCACATCCAATTTTCGGTCACATTCACTCACTGCGGCTTCTGACACTATCGAACGGAGCTCATTTGTTGCTAAAGGGATCCCCATCATCAAGGACCGCCCTCCTTCGACGTGAGCGGTCCTTCCTCGAAACCGAAGCCCAATTTCTTGCTCTTCTAGGGCAGAGTGCGAATCCTTGTATCCCTCAACTCTATCATTATGATCCTCATGGAAGACTCTGGGGATCTGCCTACTTGATCCGGCAGTATATGAAAGGGAAGAGTCTGTCAGAGATGGAAGGTGAACTCACCCCCCAACAACAAGATGGTATCGATCGCCACTTGGGCTTCTTAGTGAGCACCATCGGTCAAAATGCAGCCCCTGGCTTTGGGTCTTTGCAGCAAGTGGCATTTGGAGCTGGAAGACCCTCCTGGCGAGAGGCCTTCTGTGCCCTGTTTGAAGGCGTTCTTCGTGACGCCGAGGACATGTTCATCCACCTTCCTTACTCGGAGATCCGACGCGAACTGAATCGCCTGGCGCCTGCTCTTGAATATGTATCGCTGCCACGTCTTGTCGTCGTGGACTTTGGTCGACCCTCCCATGTTTTGGTAAACGAAGAGTCTGGACAGTTGTCTGGCATTGTGGACTTTAGTAGTGCCGTGTGGGGTGATGTGTTGATGGCAGAGATCTTCGCGAATGCATCCCCGGCGGTCTTGCAGGGAGCAGGGATGGCGGCGTCTAGGACAAGGGAGGAAAATATCCGGCTAGTCTTGTATGTGTTTGGAATACTGTTTACTGCCTCACTGTGGTGCGATGTTGCTAACTCTTTCTTGTTAACCCAGGTACGCGTGCTACCGGCTGGTGTCCCAGATCACTGTGCAATATTACCGAAACCGAGATGAGACGAGCGAATTTGATGCGCGGAGGCGATTGATAACCACCATTGCGGAAATGACGAGACTTGAACTGGCATAAAATGGCGGGCTGGTTTAACTGGCGCTTTACATGTCCAATGTGGTACCTAGATGATCACCATTAGACTGGTTCTGTTGCATAGCGAGTCTTCTTTTCTTCCAGCGGGGGCCCTGCATGTGATTTGGAGTTTTGCTCTTTTTTTTTACATTGATATATAGCGCTTTTATCAAGGGGTTCCAATCGAAATAAAATCTGATCTTTATGTTGATCTTCATGTACTTCGTATAGAACATACCCCGCCCGTAGACAATTAGAATGAGGCAAGAGAAAGAATGCCGTTGCCTTCAATGCCAAGTCGGAACCGATTAGGGCGATAGGGCGGAGCGGGGCAGGTCCGTTGTTTAGCTTCTGCATGGCGTCAATATTGTTCTCTCTCCACACTTTAACTTCTGATTTTCCATAACCCGCTACAATCTATCGTAGATGGCTCAGTTCCTGCGAGGAAAGCAAGCTGGTATCCAGAAGGACTTGTCTGAGGGCTTGTCCGCAGACTTGTTCCTGTTGGACGATGTATGTTCTTGGCATCCCTGGCATCCTCTTTTCCCCCAACTAACGCCACCGTTCTCAGTTCGCACGATGTGGTGTGAATTCGCAGATTAGCGCCATTGCATATGATCCCATACAATCCCTCATCGCAGTCGGCACCAGTGATACCCAGTTCGGAAGCGGCCAGATCTATGTTTTTGGGCAACGAAGGGTTTCGGTGGTCTTTCAGTTCTCGCGGAAGGCGTCTGCGCGGTTCCTTCAGTTTTGCGCCGACAAGCTGATCAGCATTGACTCGAGGAATGAAATCTGCATATACTCCTTAGCGACTAGGAGCGTGGCAGTTTCCTATGCGCCACCAGGTCAGGTGACTGCTTTGTTAACGGACCCGAGCTTGGATTATGCGTTTATCGGCTTGCAGAATGGTCTGTAAGTTGCTGAGGGGAAGAAAAGAACCAGAAATTGACCTGTGAATAGGTGAAATTATTGCGTACGATCTCGATCGAGAGTCCTTGACGCCGTTCAAAGTTCCGAACTTGTGGTTGGAACGAAACCCCCGCGCGCGGTTCTTCCCCGTCATATCTTTGGAGTTCTCTCCACGAGATATTGGCAAGATCCTAGTAGGATATCCGGAGGGAGCAGTCACGTTTACATTCAAGCAGAATATTGCTCAAAAATACTTTGTCTACGAAATCCCTCCTGGGGCACCGGGTGGAGACAACCTGCCGTCCCATGAGGTCCGCAGACCCAAATTGACCAAGGCGACCTGGCACCCCAACGGAATCTTCATTTTGACAGCCCATGAAGATTCAAGTCTAGTGCTCTGGGATACAAAGGATGGCCGTAAGCTTCATGCCCGGACTGTCCAAACACCCAATGTCGACCAACCAGGTGGTACTGGCAGACCCGGCTCACCTGGAGAGGCTGCTGGACCCAAAGAGCCGATTACAAAGGTTATTTGGTGCACCAAAGATAACCCGGATGAGACTGGTCTTTTGGTGGCTGGTGGCCGACCAGTAAATGATCAAAGTAAAGGCCTCGTTTTCCTGGACATGGGCCCAACCCCTAACTATCAGACCTCTTCCTGGCAAATCCTGTCTAATTATTTCGAGCGGCCACGGCGGCAAATGAGCCTCTCAGTCCCACCGGGAGCTAAAGTTGTTGATGTTTGCCTCATCCCCCGATCCTCGCCCTACTTTAATGGTGCCCATGATCCAATCGCACTTATCGCCATGCTATCCTCGGGTGAAATTATTACCCTGAGCTTCCCCAGCGGACATGCAATCACTCCCACTAACATGCTTCACCCGTTCCTCACTTTCGTTCATCCCTTTGTAAATAAAGCTGTGCTTACTCCCGTTGATCGGTCGGTATGGCTTGGCCTGAGAGAGCGCCGATTGCAAGGGCCCAAATTTGCGATAGGCGGCGCAGAAGCGAAGAACCCTCTCAAGCGCTTTGAGAATCGCAATGTTATTTCGACTGCACACGCGGATGGAACCGTTCGTGTTTGGGACTGTGGGCATGATGATGAAATTGAGAATGGTGATGTGGTTCAAGTTGATCTTGCCCGTGCCATAGGCCGAGTCGGCAATATCGAAGTGACCGAAATGTCTTTCGCGAGTGGCTCAGGCGAGATGTCTATTGGACTCAAAAACGGAGAGATTGCTGTCTTCCGATGGGGCAATAACTCCTCGTACGGGCGTGAGGAGTCTCCTGGTGCCA